TGCCATGCTGTCGGGATTAGATATGGATAACTGAGAGGAGTGAGTGGGGTGGCGGAGGCAGAGTGAGCACGGCGGGGGCACCACTGATGTCTGAGGCTGGGACAAGGGGCCACTGCCCACCTCCTCTTGCGGTTCAGCCTCAGTGGGAGAGGAAGTTGTCACCAACCCCGAAGTCTCTGGCTAGATTGAGAAATAGGAAGGAAGGGGTCTTGGGATGACAGCCAACCTTGGAGAGGGATCCCTGTCCCCTGAAGGAGCCCAGACATGGGGACCCAGACTGTCCCGCTCCCCCACCCGGCGCAGAGAGAATGGATGAGCTTCTGTATGAGGGGGGCACCTGGATGGCAGAGCCTCCCAGGGACGCGCAACAGGAAAGGACACTGTCACGACCTAGCTGATGCCAGTGAGAAGGGAACAACTGTCCACAGACCACACCAGGTGGCAAACCTCAGCAGACACCTGCAGGAACAGAAGCTGACAAGTGAGCCTTCCTGGGGCCTGGATGCTCCAGTGGGTGAGAGACTGATCAACAGTCAGGCCAATATCCAGAGGCTCATTCTGATTGGACCAGTCCATTTCACGTGCCCAAATCATGGAGCCAATCATGGTGGCGGAAGGAGTGCATGTTCTGGTTGGAGGAGGCTTGGGTCGTGGGTCCCACTCCAAGAGCTGAGCTTGATCAGACCGTAGGGACCAAAGTAGAAAACAGAAGAGGCTTAAATAAAGCTGGGGCTGTTGCTGGTGAGGGGAACGGGTCTCAGGGCAATGACTGCGTGTCCATGAGGAATATATTTGGAAGAGTGTCAGAGGAGAGGCCAACCTGGTAGTCGCTTAGGAAGCGTCCGATCCTGTCGTCTCCCTCGGGCTCACATGTCCCTCCTCGGGAGAGGAGCAGGGACATCCTTCCAAACTCCCTTGAAATATTGGGTGACATTGGGGGAAAAGGGACAGGAGAGCTGACAGGTTTGCCCAGAAGAGAAGTGACATTTCTCCGCAGGAGATGATCCGGCTGAAGGCAGGCTCATCCCAGGAAGTTGTGGGTGGCTCTGACTCCAGCCTTCAGCTCCCACCGGCTGCCGGAGCTTCGTGGGGGAAGCTGGGTGACCAGGCCTGGACTGGTGGCCCTGCTTGAGTCGTGCTTGGAGCTGCCGCAGTCTGATCTTTGGGACTCAGCTCTGAGACACCATGAGGAATGGGAAAGGGTTTCAGACAGAATCCACATCCCACACTGCCCTGGGCTCAGGACTTCCGGCGACCCAGCCCACGTCCTCGCCACTGAGGCTCAGGGAGACCCGAGAAGTTGCCTAGGGACTTTCCACGGAGCAAGAACAGGCATCAGAACCCACAGTTAAGCTTGTCTCTCTCCATGGCTGCTCATTGCCTGGGGTGCCATCGGTCCCTGAATCTCAGCCCCGCTCAGTGTTATGGAAGACTGTAGGCATGGCCCCTGCCCCAGGACAGGCACCCACAGAAAGGAAAAGGAAGCCTTGACAGGCTGGTCAGCATCACACAGCTGGGCAGGGGGGCCAGATGGTGCTGGAAGAACCCAGTTCTTCTCCTGACTCATGGTCCAGTGCTCTGTTCCCTGCCAATGCCTTCCATGCACCCCTGGCCCTGCATCCTACGAGGGCCAACCGTGTGCATCTAGGGGACAGTCTGGAAGCAGACATGAAGCCACATGTTCCCCATCACAGCACCTATGCCTAGGGCTCAAACACAGAAGCATGGACGTGAGTCTTCTTGGAAAAAGGGGCCTTGTCTTCTCTCTCGCCACCCAAAGTGGGGTCCATGGACCGGCAGCATCGCCTGGGGCACTTTTAGAAGTGCAACATCTCAGGTCTTTCTTTTAGCAGGATGGAGGGAGTGCTTATTCTTGAGCATATTTGATTTTTAGAGGTGCTGTTCTACACACCTTCTTCTGGGCATGTGGACTTTTCCAGCCCTTGAGGTTTCCAAGTGCTGTTCCTGCACTTGCTACAGCTAGAAATAGTCTCCTGACGGCTGTCATGGGTTTACATGTAAGGGTTTCCAGATAAACTTGGTCCTTATATACACAAAGATGGCACTGGCGCCCTGTTTCCAAGGAGGTGAGTTAGGGAAACCATGATATTTTATTGTCATCCATAGTGAGAAAAGAAGGCTCACAGGAGCCTCTCGAAGCTCCGGCCTTCCTGCCTCCCGCACGCCGTGCCACCTTGCCTTTCCCTTGAAATACTGTGTTTGTAAACCCGAAGTCTTGGTGGGAGGTCTGCATCCAGGACCCAGCACCTTCTACATGAGGCAGCAGATGCTCCAGAAAGCACCAAAGGAAACTTCCAGAATGGTCGGCTCTTCTACCTGGGCATGTTGCTCCTGGATCAGTGCAATCTCATCATTTTATAGATGTCAGTCCCTATTTTTTGATAAATAGTAAAGTACTGGTTTCTCTTTCTTCCTTCTCGGCTGAGTTCCTTCCTTTCTTCCTTCTTTCCTTCCTTCCTTCCTTCCTGACAAGGTCTCACTCTGTCACCCAGGCTGGAGTGCAGTGGCACATTCACAGCTCACTGCAGCCTCAAACTCCTGAGCTCAAGGGATTCTCCCACCTCAGCCTCCCATGTAACTGGTACTGCAGTCATGTGCCACCCAACCTCGTTAATTTTTTTTTTTTTGAGTTGGAGTATCACTTCGTAGCCCAGGCAGGAGTGCAGTGGCACGCTCATGGTGACCCCAGCATCGACCTGCTGGGCTCCAGCACTCCTTCCACCTCAGCCTTCCAAGTAGCCAGAACTACAGGTGTGTGCTACCATGCCCAGCTAATTTTATTTATTGTAAAGATAGGGTCTCGAACCCACGGGCTCAGGCAATGCACTCGCCTTGGCCTCCCAAAGTGCTGGGATTATAGGCTGAGCCACCGAGCCCAGCCTAATTTTGGGGGGGAGGGTAGAAATGGGGATCTCACTATGTTGCCCGGACTGGTCTTGAACTTCTGGTCTCAAGCAATCCTCCCGCCTTGGCCTCTCAAAGTGCTGGGATTACAAGTGTGAGCCACTGCACCTAGTTCAGCTGAGTTTTCTAACACGTGGACACAAATCATAGAAGAGAGCTGGTCTGGGTGATACAAAACCTTGGTGAAGAAAATGGAAACGCTTTCATCTTCTCACTATCTAGCACAGAATTATAACGGTAAGAGCACTTTTGAATTCCACAGCAGGGGATGTCTACCCACGCCACACGTGTCCGTGGGAATGTGTGTCGACATTATGTGAAGGGGGAGTGGGGATGGGGCGGGGATGAGGGGGTGGGAGGCGGTAGGCGCATGTGACCATGGTGCTGTCGCCAAGAGGTTAAAATGAAAAACAAAGCCAAATAATGCACCACCCCCCGCTCCTGATTTCTTTATTTTTTGTTGATGGGATTTAACAGAAAATACTGCTGACCCAGCCGAAATCTTCAGGATCTGAAGTCGACATCAGATCTCCAAGCACCATATTTTTGACTTGCAAATGGCTTCCAAGAATAGCTGGAGTGTCCTTATTAAGCTGCGTGCGAGGCAGCCTTCCTCAGCACCGTCTGCTCGGGCGCTGTATAATTCATGGACTTGCCTTAAAAGTGGGGGGACTGCGAGCCGTGACCAGTATGTGAACCCCAGCTGACACCTCAGTTACCATAAAAAGAGCCCAGGGAAGCTGAGATCTGAGTGGCCTCTCAGCCCCACCCCAGGGGACTCGGAACCCGCCTTCCCTCAGCCAGATTCCAGGTCTGGCCATCGCGGCACCGCTGGGGACAGCGGATTCAGCCAAGGGAAACCGTCATCTCAGTTACAGGCTCAGGCTCTCTGTGACCCCGCATCTCTGGTGACGACAGAGTCGCTCATAACACAAGCCTGCGGGCCCCTGGCATCCGGAGCTGCGTTCCACTCATTTTAACAAGAGAGGACAGGACCAGCCATGACAATAGTCACCGGAGTCACTGTACACTAGGTCTCCCAGGTCACCTCACACCTGTCACGAATGACCCCATTTAAGCCACACAGCAGAGTAAGAATTATCATCCCATCTTACAGAGAAAGAGACTGTGAACCAGAAGCTGCCTAAAGCCACCCAGGTAATGGCAAGAAAGTTCTGGGCTCACACACAAGTCTTCTGGGCTCGGAGACACATGCCCCTCTCAGTGCTCTCCAGAGGGGACCAGACATCCTGGGCTAGCCATGCTTGACAGACAGAAGAACATGGCAGAAATGTCACACTTTAAACTTTGTCTTGAAATTTCTGTTTTTGCACATTCTCATACGTATTTTTTAAGAAATCATTATATAAAAAAGAAGCATATTATGCTATCTGAATGTACATAGTAAATAAGCAAATAACATCCACATGTTGGTGACTGTGTGATCTGATTGTTTCTTCTCCATGATGAGGTGGAAATTGAAGAGTTTAGAGACCCCTGATCTTAGCTCCTCCCTTGCACTGACCCCTCCCCAGAGGCTTCTACAAGGGGCTCCAGGGAGCCGTCCATTACTCTCTCGACCTTCTCTGAGATCCATACCTGAGACCTCACTGACTGGGACCACCCAGAGATTGGCAAGCTCCGCCACCCCAGCCGGCCCACTGGCCTGCACATGAAAGATGGATGCTTCTGAAGCCTGAAGACTACTTCTAATTTGTGGTGGGACTGTGGCTGGCCAGGGCCCCTCCCTGGGCCTCAGCCTTCCCAGTGGCAGGTAGGAGGGGCTCTGCCTTGAGGGTCTTGGGACCTGCAGGACCTGTGGGCCCAAGGCTCCATGTCCCAGTGGAAACGTGCCCTTTTCTGCCTCATTCCACAAGCCTATTCCAACAGGACAGGGGCCATGCTCCCGCTGCTGCCCCTCCAGCCAGGTGTGTCACCTTGGCCTTCACCCATGCTGGGGCAGAGGCTGAAGATTTCCTGGGGCTCTGATGAGCTAGATGTCATGAGCACCTTGGGAAAAGTCAGAAGAACTCTCCGGGTGACCCTCCTATGCCTCCGCTTCTGCCATCACTTACCCAGTCTAGCGGGGTGGCGGCAGCTTCTAGTCATTCAGAAGGTGTTTAGGGGCACTCTCAGCAGGGCTCTGGATCCCAGCAGAGACTGAACATGCGGGGTTTCAGCTCCTGGGACTTTCCATTGCAGCAGAGCTGGGGGGATAAGGAGGAAGCAAGAAACGAATACAGACCGTTCATTCTGCTGGAGATCTGTGCCATGAAGCTCTTCAAAGAGGGCCAGCCGACTGGGAGTAGGGCCCATGTGTGTGGGGTGATCAGGGCATGGGGACACAGACACACAGGGTTGACTCACTCAGCAGGTGCCTGAGGGCTGCCCAGCCGACTTGAGGAATGCCCGGTGACCTTTGCCCCTGAGGGGCACAGGCCACCGGGGACCCAGGGTACCACAGCCAGCCCGCCCTGCACCTGCACAGGATGCAGAGCCAGAAACCAACCCCAGCCAAATCCTTCTCTCCTGAGTCAGGAAACGTGCAGGGGGAGTCTGGGGGGGCCAGCCACTCACTCGGCTACCGGGCTGCCCCTATCCCCCTGTAAGCCCTGCCTGCCCCCTCTTCCTCAGCACTCACACATCACACTGTCCTGGGCTCCAGTGACTCCGGGTCCAAAGGACAGAACAGAGATGGTAGCATTCCAGGGCAGCAGGGAGAAGGGGGTTCCGGATGCAGTGGGTCTTGCAGGGGCCCCTACCACGGGGCAGCCCGAGGGCACGGACAGGGCTGCTGGTGGGAGTTCCACGCTGAGACCCAGAGCGGTGCAGTGCCTGGCCCAAGGTCATGCAGCCGGAGGGGCAGCTGGAGGCCCGGAGCCCCCCAAAGTCCTCCACGCGGGGTCTCCCAGCTGGTTCTGCTCCCCGTGGAGGCACAGGCCTGGTGCTCCTGCCACTCAGAGAGCGCCTGGCGGGTGGGGGGAGGGTGAGAGGGAACAGGGAAAACAGAAAGTGCCAGTGAGTCACACTCTAAATGTCATGTTATTCCCAGCGCCTTCGCATTTTGCCCCCCCATCCCCCATCCTCCCTCGCCATTCTGGGATTCAGGCAGAGGCTGCTGGGGAGAAGCCGAGCGGTCGCATTCAGGGAAGCCGTTTCCACCCTGACCACCGGGAAGCCCGGGGGCCAATGAGCAGTCAGGGGAGCACGAGGCAGTCGGGGAGCACCGAGCAGTTGGGGAGCCTCAAGCACTCAGGGAGCATGGAGCCATTGGGAGCATTGAGCAATCAGAAGCACCTAGCAGTCAGGGGAGCACCGAGCAGTTGGGGCAGTATCATCCAGCCGGGGCAGCGCTGAGCAGTCACAGGAGCATCAAGCAGCTGTGGGAGCACTGAGCAGTCAGTCAGGGAGCACTCAGTAGTTGTGGGAGCACCCAGCAGTCAGGGAGCATCAAAGAGTTGGGGGAACGTCAAACAGCCAGGGAGCACTGAAGAGCCAGGGAGCGCTGTGCAGGAGCCAAGAGGCCTGGAGCCCAGCTCTGGCTGTGGAACTGGATGCCAGGAGGCCCTGAGCAATCAGTCCCCCGAACTCTCTGTGCTTTCTTTTCATACTTCCCCCATAAAATGGGAGAGGGTTCCCAGAACTGGTCTCATGTCAGTATTGCCTTAAAGCAAAACAAATCAGACTATTGGGCTGCACTGCTGGAGACTCCCGATCCCATATCAAAGGGGAGGCCTGAGACCCTGCCTGTCAAAGCCCTCTCTTCACCTGCACCCAGCCAAGTGATTCTGCTCAGTCCACTGAGGGCTGCTTGGTAAGCTCCAGACTCCATGCTCCCATTCGGATTCCAGTTTATGTTCATGACCCACTCACCTCCTCCAAAAAGTCCTCTGGGATTTACCGGCCCTATCTGCCACCTCCAACCCTCCTCACTTCTGTCCTGCCTCCCTGCCCACGAGCCCCAGTGCTCCCAGAGGCGTTTAGTCATTGGTGACTGTGCGAGTACGTGTGTCGGGTTGTGCATGCATGTGCGTGCTTGCCCCACGTGACTCAGCAAGATGAACCTAGCATTCAGCATAGCTGCACAGTGCTGGAGCCAGTCAGTCCCACGGGACTCTGCCCCCTGAGGCCAGGCGACCCTGGGGAGGTGACCTGGCCTTCCTGAGCCTACCCTTGCACATCTCTTGGTTGGGCCTCACCAGACCCTGCCCCTCGAGGCTGCACATGAGGCTCCCTGAAAGGACGACGGGAACAGAGAGAGCACTTTTCGCAAGACCCATAGGGGACAGGGAGGTCAGGGGCCAGGAAAGCACCACAGGTGGGGGGGTGCTCCTGAGGGACGCCTTCTACCCGCGGGGTGCCCCAGGCAGAGGGCTGGGACTCAGTGAAGAACAGGGACTTCCGGTGACAGGCAGGTTCCCAGAGGAGACAGACCCCCCCCAGGATGCAACTGAAGAGAGGAGGAGGGCGGGGCTGGCGACAGAGGTGGGCGGGGCTGAGGGACCCCAGGGGTGGGGGAAGGCTCCTGTGCTGAAACAACAGGCAGGGCGGCCTGACCAGAGCCCAGCAGGAGTGGGAGCCGGGAGGGGCTGCCCACAGAAGGCCAGTCCCAGAGGCGGCCTCGCAGCGGGAGACGCAGGGAGAAGCAGCCCAGCCCCTCGCTCCTTCCACCCCAGTCTCTCATTCTGGTGCCTCCCCTGGCCCAACCCAGGCAGCAGCCCCTGGGGGTCCCCTCCTGGGGCCCAGAGCCGGGCAGAGAGATTTTGGCGGGGCAAACCAAGAGTGACCAGCTCCTGGGGCAGCCTGGTCATGCCCTAGCCTCTGCTCGCTGGGCCTGGTGGAGGGGCCTGGCCCAATTCCCAGCTCTGCCACAGACACACGGGGTGACGCCCGGAAGTCACCACTCTCCAGGCCTCCACCTCCGCACGCTTTGCCACAGGGGTTAACCTGTCTGTCCTGAACCCTGTTCATTCTCCAGTCCTCCCCTGCTGCATCTCAAGGGGCGGGAGCCCTGCTGGACAGCGGCGCGGGCTCAGGGGAGAGGGAAGCGCTGCCAACAGAAAATTAATTCTGGGCGGGAGAGAGCAGAGGCTGTTGTTTGTGATGTATAACTTACTCTTTGTGTCAAACTGTGTACTGTGTATATCAGTGGGATGGCAAGAAAACCGAGATCTATTACTTAGAGTTTAATCTGTTCCCCGTGCCGGAGCGGGGAGCAGGCGGGGGAGGGAGCCCACAACTTTAATCACAGGCCTGGCTCGTATGTCAAGCTGTTCCCCGTGTGTTAGGAAAATGATGTCGGATCACACGCCTCCCAGACAGCTCCCCACGCCACGGCTGCGTCGGCCGTAAATTAGCACACCTACCTCACACTCTTCAGGTAAAACCGGTAATTTAGCTAGAAAATACACTCATGCGCACGCAGGCAGGGTGGGCGTGGGGGGAGTCGGGGGGAGGGCGCCCCCTCAAGCTGGAAAGAGCTAAAATGAGCAAGCCGGGACAGAGATGACACCTCGCTGCACCTCCTGTCATTAGCGCAGGCCCCTGGCGCCAGCCCCCAGCCAGCCCACCTTTCCTCTACCTGCCTGGGTGCCTCCTCCGCGCCCCCCGCCCCTTTTCGCCATGAACCGTAAATTACATGCTGACACCTTTAATTTGTGCAAAGTATGCCTGGCTGCGCCTGGCACGGCAGCCGGCTGCTATAATAAGGTCAATCTATATTCATTGTCGCAGTACTTGATGTACCAGATAACGCAGGGAGGCAGCATGGTGGTGGCTTCTCCAGGCTGGGGTGCAGCGGGGGTGCCTGCAGCCACGTGGCGTGGCCTGGCACTGGTTGCTCATTGCATATGCATGGCGTGAGCAATGTCGTGATTTAGCTAATTACCATCCACTACTCAGCCCATAGCTGCCTGGAGATGGCTGGAGTCCATACCTGCCCGCTTAGCTAGAGAGGGATGCCCCCCGTCCACCCAACGCCATGGAGAGGCCACCTTGCGGGTGTGACTGTCCTTCTGAGTAGTGGCCCCAGGAGGCGTCTAGCCCGGGATTGCAGACTCCTGCCCCTGCCTCTAGAGAGAAAAGCTGCCCCACTTGCCCATGGCAGGGTCAATCCCATGATGTCTCTGCATCCTGGGACCCCACCAGGGACAGGCCTCTCACAGACATATCACGTGGCAGCAGCCTAGGCTCTGGAGACATAGAGTTCGGGGTTCTGACCCCTGCTCTGCCACTTCCAAGTTGTGAGAGCTTAGCCGCATCACTGAACCTTTCTGGGCTGCAGATTTTCGTCAGTGAAAGAGGGAAACAAGTCCCTCCCTGGCAGGGAGATGCAAAATAACACACGGGCTCGGCCGGTGGCAGCTGCTGTCGTCAGAGTCCCGGGGATAGATATCACGTGAGGTGGCCAATGTCTGTTTTCAGTGGGAAAACAGCAAGGAGTGGGACAGGGACCCACTGGTGAGCCCATTTGAGACAATTCCCCCTGGCACGAGGCTATATGTGCAAGGTCTCAGCTCCTGACACATCTGGGCTAGAGGAGGCCCACAGGGCATCTGACCTGTGGCTGGAGAGGGTCGGAGGAGGGCGTGACCCAAGTGCTCAAGCTCCCACAGACTGGAGGCAAGAAAGAAAAAATGCTCACGCCTACAATCCCGGCACTTTGGCAAGCTGACACAGAAGGATCACTTGAGACCAAGAGTTCGAGACCAGCCTGGGCAACATAGCAAGCCCTCTTCTCCACAAAAAATAAAAAAAGTTAACCAGGTGGGGGCGTGCGCCTGTAATCCCAGTTACTCAGGAGGCTGAAGCAGAAGGATCACCTGAGCCCAGCAAGTCGAGGCTGCGGTGGCCATGATCGTGCCACTGCACTCCAGCCTAGGCAACAGAGTAAAACTCCAACTCTTAAAAAAAAAAATGCAGCTCAGAAACCCAACTCATAGAGCTGAGGGAATTTGGAGACTGTCCCACCTGACCCTCGTGCTAGAGACAGGGTCACAAGAGGCAAAGCGGGAGTGGACGCATCCAGAGTGGCCCCACTGGTGAGGGCAGAGCTAGAGTCCTGACCTGGGCTTCTGACTCTGCTCCACAGCCCCACAAGACAGCCCCAAAGAGGGACAGGT